ACGTGATGCGCTTAGAGAACTCAAGGCCGACAAAGACCTGGTCATCGTGCCAACGGACAAGGGGCGCTCCACAGTTGTACTGAACAGGAAAGACTACCTTCAAAAAGCCAAAGGTTTACTGGAGGACCGACAGTTCTATGTCTCATGTGCAAGGAGCCCTTTAAAAACGCTGACACGCAAAAGTAATGCTACGTTGTTGGCTTTGGAGAACTCAGGTGCAATAACACCGACCGACAGGCGCATGGCGAGACCCCAAAATACGGCTTTGGCCCGATTCTATGGCCTCCCTAAAGTGCACAAAGACGGCGCTCCTCTCCGACCCATCGTGTCGCTCAAAGTGACTTCAACGTACGGACTGGCTAAGTGGCTGTTCCGGCGTCTCAAGTTCCTGATCGCTGAGTCAGACACCACGGTCTCTTCGTCAGCACAATTCCTGGAGAAACTCAAAGGGTAATCCTCCATCCAAATGAGGTCATTGTATCTTTTGATGTTACATCCCTTTTTTACTTCTATTCCCCAGGACCTGGCGATCGAGACAATCGAGCTGCTACTTCAAAGCAAATACGATGAAACGGAGAATCGTCTTGGACACGCCCAAATCCTTCAACTCCTGAAGCTCTGTCTCAGGACGTGCTTCACGTTCGACGGGACAATCTACGAGCAGGTGAAGGGCACACCAATGGGTCCGTCGATTTCGGGACTCATAGCCGAGGCGGTTCTTCAACGGCTGGAGTCGCTGGTCTTCCAACACCACAAACCGAAGTTTTGGGCCCGGTATGTGGATGATACATTCGTCGTCATCGAACGGGATCAGGTGCTGACATTCCAAGAACATCTCAACGCCGTCTTCCCGGACATTCAATTCACGATGGAGGAGGAAGAGAACAACCAGCTGGCCTTCCTGGATGTCCTCGTATGCCGCAAAGATTGTAGTGGACTTAAGACCAAAGTGTTCAGGAAAGCGACAAATACGATGCAAGTACTGGACTTCAACAGTAACCACCCAATCAGCCACAAACGCAGCTGTGTAAGGACGCTTTATCGGCGTGTCGAAACGCACTGCAGTGAGCCAGAAGAGAAGATTGCCGAACTACAATACCTCCGACGGGTATTCAAAGCCAATGGTTATCCCCGCAACTTCGTCAATTGGTGCATACGCAAAAGGGACGAAAGGCCTAACAGCACGGACACCAAATCTTGGCGGGCGCTTCCGTATGTCAAGAAAGTTTCGGAAGCTGTCGGCCGCCTTCTCGCACCACTTGGGGTTGGAGTTGTACGCAGACCGGAGGCAAACATCAGGCGTCTGATAATGAAACCGAAAGACCCGCTGCCACGGCTAGAAACGTCTGGAGTCGTTTTTGGATCTGGTGCAGTTGCGGACAAAGCAACTACGTCGGAGAAACCGGAAGACAGCTCCGAACGAGAATGGACGAACACGCTGCAGCGGTGCGGAGAAATGACTCCAGCTACCAAGTTGCGGCTCATTAGACGAGATCCGGCTACACACTCAAATTCGACGAGGCCGAAATTCTCTCAAGAGGTGACAACCGCGTGAGCCGGGAGCTACTTGAATCATGGTTTACGGGCCTCCAGTCCATTAACAAGTGCAATGAACTTCGCCTTCCATACTCTGTCCTGAGACTTCGCCTAGGCGGAGTAATTGGCCGCGCGGGGAGCGCACATGTGAACACTCTTCCCAACACCAGGATCGATGCGTCAGATGGTCGAGCAACCATCACACCAGCATCCAACGCCCGTGATGAAATTGCAGCAATTAACGACGTGAACGTCGGCCATGAAGCAATTAACAGACCACGTGCAATGATCACGGATGAAGGGGGGGGGGGGAGAGCCGTGAATAGGAATGCGGTAGCATGGCGACTGCTCCCTAAAAATACTGCAGCCCCTGTTGCATGAATCACCCGTATTTGCTGTTGTCTCTGATGATGGGTTCGAGCAGGAATCCGAAACGTCAGGCTAATAAAGCTCTTGTCCCAGCGAACGTGTCTCCTTCTTCAAGGCTCCTCGGATTGTCTAAACGGGAAGGAACATTCCAGGCTGCCAGAGTGGGCGGGCTCACCCTGCCAGTCTGGCGACTGCGGCGGCGAAAAGTAAGAGGAGGAGAAGAAGAAGAGGAAAAGGCTGGAAGAGGAAGAGTATGATTGTTGTTGTTGTTGTTGTTGTTTGTGTTGTTGTTGTTGTTGTTGTTGTTGTTGTTGTTGTTGTTGTTGTTGTTGTTGTTGTTGTTGTTTCGGTTTTGGCTGTTTCGACCGTGTGTGTTTTGTCTGCAGCCACGGCCAGCCTACAGACAGCGTGGTTCCCAGCGATCTTTAGGGCACCTTTTCTAGCCCCCTCCCCCTCGCGAGGGCAGGCAACGCATCCCTGAATAGGATTGCCCCGGTTATCCCAGACGGCTGCCGGACTCCACTATGGGCCACGAATATTTGTTAGTGAGAGAACGACCCGAATTAGCCTGGGACCTTGGTGGTGATTGTGATGTGATGGAGTGAAGTAGGAGAGAGCATACACACAACTTAACGCTATGGGACTTACAGCTAGCTAGAGTGGACAAACAGACACAGTGATCAGTCAGAGACAGAAGTGAGAGGGCATGATTCAAGTGTCAAGCACCGTAACATCTAGCCATTAGCAGATAGAGGCATAGGTTGACAGACAGACAGTCGCAGCAGGCATCGAGAGTTACATCTAGCATACAGAGGGCAGGCAGCAAGAGCAACATCCGACGCGGAACCAAAGGAAGAAACAAAGCAAATTCACTTACCTGAAGAAGAACTTACCTGGTGGCCTCCTGCGATGGTCGAAGCAGAGCGTTCTCTCGACGATGTCGACGCGAAGATCCATCCGGCCAGCGGAGACCACAGTACCGTGTGTGCAGGAGCACGCACGGATACCCTCACCAGGTTTATCCCGCCGGTCGAGGTGGTTGCCCGGGGTGTGGCCGCTGAGTAGAGCCTAGCTACGTGGAGCCACAGGTGAGAGTTAGGTGCCAGCAAATGGACGCACACACACACACACACACACACACAGGACAGTTCGACCATCGATTTCGATGATGTCCATCTTGTGCCCCACAGACGGCATTGTGGATCAGGGACGGTGACTTACGCTGGGGTTTATAGTGCCAGTAGACTTGCGTAGCTTCTACCTACACTCTCTCCTCCTCCCCCGCCTGGGCCCGGTATCAAGACAGAGTCAAGAAGGCCGGAGACGGGGGAGGCGGCAGGTGGATGGCTCGGACGGATCCTCACCTTCGCGTTCCACCACACCCCCTGGTCCACACAACAATGACCAGGATTTCAACCAACACAGCAGAGGTATGGAGGCCGGCACGGCCGAAACCGCACCTAGGTGTGTCGCCAACGCCTGGCTCGGATCCCACACACTGGTGGGAGTGCCATAAAGGTCACATTAAAAAGGAGCCGTTGCAACCTGACTCTCAGACCGCCTCCGGTCAAGGAGGAGGTCCAAGATACCCCGTCAGTTGGCAACCTTCTAAGCCACGGCTTTTAGCGCACCGTGATAGCTTCAAGCGCGTCAGATTGATTATAGTGAGGAGAAAATGCGCTGAGTCGTCGACCTCACTCTCCCTTTCCATTCCCACACCCCAGCCGCCGTCCGAGCCGGTCGGCAAACTGGAGTGGGGAATGGGCGCGGTGGATGACACGGTCGACTGACCATGCCTGCGCGCGCCAGAGCACGAACTGGCCTCCCATACGCACACAAACACCAGGATTTCACACAACGGGGGTTGAACGGCGTGTCTCTCACGTGCCTCGCGTGAGAGGGCCGTGGAAGGTGCTGCGTCAGCCCGTCCCCAGCCCACCAGACCGCCACTTCACACAATACGCACACACACACACAACGTGACGAACTGCGTGAACCGAGAGCGGGCGTCAATCAGCAACATTCCAGTCCACGACACTTGAGGTGTCAGGATACTTTCGGACTCAAGTGAAGGTGCGATCGCAGTGAGGGCAGGTGTAGTCCTGATTCTCATCACTGGAATCGCGAGAGGTGTGGGTGGTGTCGGTTGTTGTGTCGGGGTTGGTGATGTGTGAGACGACAGCCTCAATGACCACCGGTGGAACTGTGGAGGAGGAGGAGGAGGAGGAGGAGGAGGAGGAGGAAGAGGATTAGGGTGGAGGTGGTGCCGGTGGTACAGAAGAAATGTCAAAGTTAGTTGGCGGTAGAGAGGGCGAGCAAGAGGTGGACGGGGGGACGATGGCTGGAGCAGTTCGAGATGTGAAGTTGATCCGAAGATGTCCAATTCGAGCCCGGAATATCCGGTGACATCGAGGACACGTTGGAAGCGGTTGTGCGGCGGTGGCGTTGCCGACTGGGCGAAGTTGGGATTTGCGGGCTTCGCGTTTCGCTTTGGCGGCAGCGATTCGGTTGGCTTAGTAGATAGCAGCGCCCGTCTTCACTGTTCTCCTCCATGTCGGACGATCGCGAGCGAGCTCTTCCCAGTTGGTCGGGTTGATTTGCAGGCGCTTCAGGGAAGACTTCAGAGTATCCTTGTAACGGCGAATTTGGCCTCCCTGACGGCGAGAAACCGTCGCGACGTCTCCGTAGAAGAGTCGTTTGGAAAGTCGCTCGTCGTCCATGCGCACCAGGTGGCCGCTCCAGCGCAGCTGCATTTGTCTCAACATGGAGTAGATGCTCGCGATTCCCGTTCGTTCCAGCACATCGGTGTCGGGCATGCGGTCCTGCCAGTTCAGCCTCAGGATGCGACGGAGACAACTGAGGTGGAAGTTGTTCAGTCGACGTGCCTGTCTCCTGTACACCGTCCAGTTCTCCGCTCCGTATAGTAGCGTCGGCAGGATGACGGCCTTGTACATCTTCAGCTTCGTGCTCAGTTGGAGACCGTGACGATTCCAAACTGTGCTTTGGAGGCGACCGAAGGCCTGACTGGCTTTCGAGATTCCGTTAGCGACTTCGTCATCGATGTTGGTGTTGCGGGAGAGGATACTGCTCAGGTACGGGAAGTTCTCCACCACTTGCAGTTGGTTTCCGTTCACGCTGATTTGCGGCGGCGCGTTGGGGGCTGTGGCTGAGTTGGGTGGCGGTTGGTGCATCACCACCGTCTTCTGTGTGTTAATGACCAGACCGAAGTTCTCGCAGGCGGCGGAGAACAGGTCCATGCTGCGTTGCATTTCCTCTTCCGAGGTGGTGTTCAGGGCGCAGTCGTCGGCGAAGAGGAGTTCATGCACGGTGGTTGTGGATACGCGCGATTGGAAGTTCATGCGCCGTTGATTCAGGAGATGACCGTCCGTCCTGTAGGCGATGCGGATCCCGGGGCGTTCGTCGCGGTAGGCGTCCATCAGCATGGCAGAGAACATAAGACTGAAGAGGGTTGGTGCCAGCACGCATCCCTGCTTCACTCCGTTGGTCACTGCGAATGCCTCTGAGACAGCTCCATTGTCCGTGATGCGTGCTATCATGCCATCGTGGAGCTGACGCACCCTTTGACTGAATCGTCCCGGACAGCCAAATCACATTTCGTCACAATTCACCCTGTCGAATGCATTCGTCAGATCCACGAAGGAAAAGTGCAGGTGGGTCCGCATCTCCTGACGCCTCTCCTGCAGCTGATGGGTGACGAAGATCCCGTCCATGGTGCTAAGATAACGGCGAAAGCCGAACTGATTTTTCGCCAGAAGACCTTGATCCAAGTGATTGTTCAGGCGGTTGAGAAGAATGTGAGCGAATATCTTACTGGCAGTGTTTAGTAGGGAGATGCCTTGGTTGTTGTCGCAAAGCTGGCGGTTTCCTATCCGTTTGGCCAGGTGGATGATGGTGGCGTCTTTGAAATCCTGCGGACTTCTCCTTGAAGCCACATCTCCTGGAACAAAGCCGCTGGGTGCTCCATGAATTGGGGACCATCATGCTTGTAGACCTCCGCAGAGCTCGCATCCGATGCGGGCGCTTTCCCGCTGGAGAGCTGCTGCACGGCCCTGAAAGTCTCGTGGAGAGATGGTGGGAGGTGACGATTGGCGTTGGTCTTCAATTGGGGCGGACGGGCGATGGGGGTGTCGGAGGTGTTGGAGGGGCGATTGAGGACGCCTCTGAATTGTTCGGCATACCGCTACAGAATTTGTGTCTTCTCGGTGAGCGTGGTTATTCAGTCGGCGGCGAGGAGAGTTGCAGTACCTTTGGCGGGCGGACAGTAGATTGCTTGGATGGTAAAGATCTTCTTCCATTTGTTGTGGTCCGCGTACCCTTGGATCTCGATAGACTTGCGAGCCGTCCGTGCGTTCTTCATCTCGCGGCGGCAACGGTAGAATGCTGTTTTGTTG